ATTCCTACTCAGTGGGAGAAGAATGAATGGGATGGACGCTGGTGTTGCAGCTATAATGTCCCTTATGGAGCATTTGTGAATTTCCCTTTTTTTGTGTTTACTTTTTTACAGAGGAATCCCAGGCAAGGCGCTGACTCTCTGTGAGGCTCCCAAATCCCCGTGTAGGACTCCCGTTCCCCGTGCAGGCCCCAAGTAGCCCAGCAGTGCCTGGATCCAGGCAGTTCTCCCATCCCTTGCTGCTTCTCTGTGAAGAGGCCTAGAAGAGCAGAGGGTCTCTGCAGTTCAACTCCCTCAACCAACACCTTCTTAGCAGGCTTTGGTGGTTGTTTTGAGAGGCAACCCTTGTTGTTTTGATTCTGGCCCTAGTCAGGACACTTTAAATACACTAGTTCTATTTTTAAATATTCCCAGTGATTAAGTTGTTGAAATCAATCCACGGATGCAGAACCTGCCAGTCGAAACTTGAACAAGGTTACCCACAAGAGCTGGTAGTTTTCTAGTGTTTCCCAACAAAATGGTCAATTTCTCATATACTGGTGGGTCATGATGCCATTTCTCACATCTGAACAAGAGGAAAAACAACAGCCACGTAAAACCCATGGGCTCAGGAAGGGTTCAGATGAGAGCTATTTGCCTACCTGGAGTCAAACCTCTCATTCCTTCCTTCCAAGAATGCTGCTCCATCCTGCTCGAATAGTTATTCAGCATGGACTGTGTGCTAGGCACTGTTCTCCAGAGACTTGGAAATGTATTCCCTTTTCTAAATACATTTCTAAAAAAATGTATATCTTTTCTGAATACACTTTCCTAATGAAGCCAAGAGTAGTGTTCACTGAGCTCAGCACAAGTGCTTCTTCAGGCAGCGACCCAGGCTCTGAGTTCAGCCTCAGCATGCTCTCCTGAAGCCTGTTACTGCGCTTTCACACCATGCCCTATACCCAGTTCCACCACCTTCCGTCTCCTGGGGAGTGAAATTAATGGCAGCAACAGCAGGAGGGTGACCGCTGAGCCTGGAGGGAAGCTCCACACAAGTGTTGATTTAAGAAAGCCTGCATGTGACCCGTCTCTCCTTCAGCACTTGCATTGATTGCCAAAGATGAATTACCATCTGCCTTGGCTTTAAATTAACTGGGGCAGTTCTAACCCAGAGAGAATGGGGAGCCAGGAAAATGGAATTGATTCTAAGCTTATTTCCATTTTGAAAGGCAGTAAGAAGATGTAATGGGGCTCAGGGAGGGGTGTGTTCTATGAAGCGTGAAGTCAGGGGAAGGAATTGGCTGTAAAACTAAGGGGTTAGGTGGGAAATAAACATTCTTAGGAAGTGCTGCCTGTGCTGTAGCTCTTGGTGGACAAAATGCAGTTAGAGGCATAAATACTCCAAATTTTCTTGTTTGACAGGTGCTATCAAAATGTTTCAGGAGGTATTTGTGATTTGTGATTAGGCTTTGTGATTTTTGTTTTCAGAAGATATCTCAATATTAGTGGTTTTTTGTTTTTGGGCTCTGTGTGTGTGCACATAGTGCCAGCTTCGAAGCTATGAGATTGGAAACTGCCTGATTACCCCAGGCTCAGTGTAGCTAAAATTGGACTCATTATCTCTGACTGCAAATCTGTTCTTCTGCCCGTATCCCTGAACTCAGTTACTCTCTCATCCATTCACATGATTAGCCAGGACGGAAGCCCGAGGCTTCCTAGACTCCTCTCATTCTCTCATAGCCCACAACAAAGCTATCATCACTCATCTGCTGATTTTCTATTCAAATACCTCTGTAGACATCGAGGAAAAGAAGGAAATATTTAAACATCCTGGTATCTGAGAAGTGGCCTCGATGTTATTACAAGCTAATCTGGCTCTCTCCTAGCTGAGCTGTGTTGATCCCTTGGATGTAATCTCACAGAACATCAACACCAAACAAGGTCGCTCTGAGACTATGACAACATAAGACAAAAACAAAAATCACTGTGAAACCCACAAAATACCAGATGTCACCCTCCCACTAAAATGAGTAACTGCTGCTGCTTTACAAATCACGCCTTTATCTCTACTCTGGTCTGCCCTTCCTGTAGAAGTGCTTGAGATACCCAATCATAGAATTATCCCCAGTTCCTTAGACTCTCCCCAAAGTCACCCAACCAAAGCCCGAGTCCTCTAATAGGTTTTCTTCTAACACCCTCTTAGTGAGATGCCCCACGGTTTCCCATGGAATATGCTTTCTCCTGCTGGAAGGAGTAATAAACCCAACTGATTCAACCTCAAAGGTGTGTTCCTGGGGGATGTGGACTGTGTAGCGTATTGACACCATTCTCTCCTTTCCATTTCTAGTTAAATCCTGTTTTTTATCATCACCAGCCTTTATTATCATCAACAACATCCTGTGTAGTTTTCCAGGTTCCATTGTTCTTCCCCTCTCAGCCTTTTTCACGCTACCATGAGATTACCTCACCCACCCCACCAGTGGATTGTGTGAAACTTTTTGTTTATCAAAAATGGGCCACGGAATATAATGTATTTACAACATAAACTCCTAGATATTATGCACTGAGAAGAACACAATATCATTTCTGTAATATCCTTGCCAAAAATGCATCATCCCATTTCAGTCATGAGAAAAACATCAGGCAAATCCAAATTAAGGGATACCCTCAAAATAACTGATCAGTACTCTTCAAAACTGTCAGTCATGAAAGACAAGTGTTGTAAGTTGAATTGTGATCCCCCAAAACAGATAAACACATTCTAACCCCTAGTAACTCAGTGCGTGACCTTATTTGGAAATAGAGCTGCTGCAGACGTAAGTCACCAAGACAGAGTCATACATGTCACAAAAAAACAGATACTACATGATTCCACTTATGTGCAACTGAAGTAGTCGAATTTATAGAAACAGAAAGGAAAACGGAGGTTACCAGGGACTGAGGGGAGGGAGTAAAGGCGAGTTGTTGTTTAATGGGTATAGAGTTTCAGATTTGCAAGATGACAAAGTCCTGGAAATCTGTTTCACTACCATGTAAATATACTTAACGCTACTGAACTGTGCACTGAAAAATTAAGACAGTAAATTTCTTGTTACATTTAAAAAATTAGATATATACATATACATGTGTATAAATATATATTGATTTTAAAAGATGAGATCATGCTGTTTAGGGTGGCCTCTAGTCCAATATGGCTAGTGTCCTTATGAGAAGATAGCCATGTGAAGGCAAAGACACACAGGGAGACAGCCCTGTGACAACAGAGGCAGAGATTGGAGTGATGTAGCTGCAAGCCCAGGAAGCTTTGAAGAAGCAAGGAAGGATTATCCTCTACAGATTTCAGAGACAGCACAGCCCTGCCAACATTTTGATTTTGGACTTTTGGCCTCTAGAACTGTGAGACAATACGTTCTTGTTGTTTTAAGTCACCCTGTTTGTTGTTACTTGTTATAGCAGCTCTAGAAAAATGCTGTAGCAAAGAAAGACTGAGAAGCTGTTATAGGTTGGATGAAACTAAAAAGTATTTCTATCAGTGTTCTTTTCCTGGTTTTGATAATTGCACTATGGTCATGTAAGTGGTTAATATTAAGAGAAGTTTGGTAAAGAGCTCTATGTACTGTTTTTCTAACTTCTTTGAAAGGCTAAAACTAGTTCAAAATGAAAAGTTAAATAAACATGGTGTCTTAGGCTCTTTGTGCTGCTATAACAAAATACTTTAAACTAGGTAACTTATAAAGAACAGAAATCTATTTTGTACAGTTCTGGGGACTGTGAAGTCCAAGATCAAGGTGCCAGCTGGTAAGGGCCCAGTCTCTGCTTCCACGATGGTACTTTGGTGCTGTGTCCTCCAAAAACGGAGAGATGCTGTGCCCTCACATTTTGGAAGGTGGAAGGGCAAGAGAGCTGAATCCTGTGTGAATTGTCTTATATAAGGCCCTTAATCACATTCCTGAGGGAGGAGCCCTTATGGCCTAATCACCTCTTAAAAGTTCCACCTCTTAATACAGGCATCTGCAATCTGAAAATCTGAAATCTGAAACGCTCCAAAAGCCAAAACATTTTGAGCTCCAGCAGAATGCTCAAAGGAAATGCTGAGTGGAGCACTTTGGACTTCGAATTTTCAGGTTAGGGATGTTCAACCAATATGCAAATACTCAAAAACTGGAAAAAAAATCTGAAATCTGAAACACTTCTGGTCCCAAGTATTTCAAATAAGAGTTATTCAAATAGTATCATCACATTGGCAACACCTGAATTTTGGAGGGAATACAATCAAACCATAGCACATTGTATAGATTTTTTTTTAAATAAGAAACACTGATTTGGAATACTAATCTAAACATGACGCATCTCTGCTTAAAAACCTGCAATTGATGTGGGAGAAACAACTCCTCTACGTTGCCTTCACTCACAAAGTGCCTGGCCTGACATACAAGGGGCAAGGTTCACGAGCTATCCACATCCATCAAGCTGCCCTCTGCTCTCTGACCTGGGTTCTCCAGCAGTTCTGACCACACGTGCTCATTTCCATGCCTCCCCTGTTTCACATGACTCCATTCATCTATTATATCGTCTCCAGTAATTTCTCTTTTGTCCTTAGGCAGCACCACTCCACAGCTGCTTCTAATTTGGCTCCCAAAGCACAGCCCTGGGCTCTGGGAAGGAGAAGATGGCTAGAGAGAGAGAGACAAACACATTTAGAGATAGGGACTAAGTGTGCATCCTGGTTTTTTTTCTTTTTTTTTTTGATGTTTACATCTAAAACAATAAGAAAAAATAGCCCCATCTTTGGCATTGCTTCCATCTCCAAAACTGCTGGATATCTGTTCTTATCTCAGAAATGATTTTCCAGGCTTTGGCAATCAAGCATCCTGAAATATCAGGATGGTTAATGGGAAAAAATCACTAATCAACTTCTGTGTGTGAGACCAGACCAATGATTTTTATCTGTAAAGTCTAGGTTCATAGTCTCAGGGCATCTACTGATTTCAATGGGGATCCCTGGTTCCCTAAAGATAGAATATGTGGCAAAAGAGAGCCTTTGGAAGAGGTAATTGTGAAATAGCCTCTCACATATAAATGTCTTATTCAAATATTACGTTTATTTGAGTGTGCCTTACATAGACATCATACATAGCTTTTTCTTCTTGTTAAAAAGGGCAGGGACATTTTATGAGAATGAATACCCTTCTTTTAAATGACACTGTTGTTTAAACTCTCCCCCTCAATATTCACACACAAACACACTCACACCGTTATAGAAAGGAGTTGTAACACAGAGGATATATACAGTAGTGTGCTGGAATCAGCAACTAATAGCTTATTTTAAATTTTCAGAAATTTCGTGAGCTGGTTATTGAACGTAGCATTAACTTATATTCAAACAAAGATAATAAACAGTCTAATCTTATTGCTGCCTAACTACCTTACCGGTACTCTTGAGGCTGTTTCTATCTATTGTATCTGTATGGTGGAAATACTACACTAGACTTCTATACAACTCTTCCCAGCTGTGCATTTAGTGACATCGTGGTAGTAGTTTGAAATTGCCATGGTGAGATTGTTTTTACCATGAAAATTGGCAAACGTAACAAACCCGAGCTAGCTTTTTTCCTCCAAAGAGCCAGTTAAACATTTACCGTCCACCGTACCCACAGCACACACACCTTCTTTACAAAGACTGACTTTATGTTTTCATATTGGGATACAAGTGATTGATTCACAAGGTAGAAAGTTCACACAGGTAAATGGGATCAGAACCTCATCATTCATCCCCCCGTCAGGCATTGGTTACTTTTTAATCTACCTCATGATTTTTCCCTGAGGAATGCAAATCAAACCTCTTTCCATCACATACACATTTTAAGATCTGACATGCATTCCTTTTCCGGCATTTCTATGTCTGCCTCCCTAATGCAATGTCACATCAACTCAAATCTTCATTGCTACAAATGTGTCAGTGTGATTCCTCTACCTTCTCCCAATCAGTCCTGTGATGTTCATTCCTACAAATTTTGTTTTGCTTTTTAAATTCATCCCCTCAAGCATTTATCCTTTGAGTCACAAATAATCCAATTACCTTCTTTAAGTAATTCTAAAATATACAGTTAAGTTATTATTGACTATAGTCACCCTGTTATACTATTGAATAGTAGGTCTTATTCATTCTTTCTGTTTTTTGTACCCATTAACCATCCCTGCCTCCCCCCAGTCCCGCACTGTCCTTCATAGCCTCTGGTAACTATCCTTCTATTCTCTATGTTCGTGAGTTCACTTGTTTTGATTTTTAGATCTTACAAATAAGTGAGAGCATGCATTGTTTGTCTTTCTGTGCCTGGCTTATTTCACTTAACATAATAATCTCCAGTTCCTTCCACTTTGTTGCAAATGGCTGGATCTTATGGCTGAATAGTGATCCGTTGTGTATATGAACCTCATTTTCTTTATCTATTCATCTGTTGATGGACACTTAGGTTGCTTCCAAATCTTAGATAGTGTCCACAGCGCTGCAACAAACATAGGAGTGAGTGCAGATTTCTCTTTGATATACTGATTTCCTTTCTTTTGGGGATGTACCCAACGGTGGGATTGCTGGATCATGTGGTAGCTGAATGTTTAGCTTTTTGAGGAACCTCCAAACTGTCCTCTATAGTGGTTGTAATAATTTACATTACCATCAACAGTGTAGGAGGCTTCCCTTTTCTACACATTCTTTATTATTTATTTTATTTTTTATTTCCATAGGTTTTTGGGGAACAGGTGGTATTTTGTTACACGATTAAGTTCTTTAGTGGTAATTTCTGAGATTTTGGCGCACCCATCACTGTATGCAATTTGTAGTCTTATCCCTCACTCCGCTCCCATCCATCTCCCCTCCCTGAGTCCTCAGAGTCCATTGTATCATTGTTATGCCTTTGTATCCTCATTGCTTATCTCCCACTTATGAGTGAGAACAGAACTGCTTGGTTTTCCATTCCTGAGTTACTTCATTGAGAATAATGGTCTCCAATTCCATCCAGGTTGCTGCAAATGCCATTATTTGGTTCCTTTTATATCACACTACTCAGCCATAAAAAGTACATATACATATATATAATGGAATACTACACAGCCATAAAAATAGGTTTATTAATAAGTGAGTAGATAAAGAAATTGTGGTGTGTATGTGTGTGTGTGTGTGTGTGTGTATATATATATATGTATCCACTCATTGATTGATGGGCATTTGGGCTGTTCCATATTTTTGCAATTGTGAGTTGTGCTACTATAAACATGCATGTGCAAGTGTCTTGTTCATATAATTACTTCTTTTCCTCTGGGTGGATAGATACCCAATAGTGGGATTGCTGGATCAAATGGTAGTTCTATTCTTTTTCTCCACATTCTTGCCAGCATTTGTTATTGCCTGTCTTTTGTAATGTAAACCATGTTAACTGGACTGAGATGATATCTTATTGTAGTTTTGATTTGCACTTCTCTGATGATCAGTGATCAAACACTGTTTTCTTAAACTCAGCTTCCATCATGTTGCTCCCCTGCTCCAGAACCTACAAGTCCTCCCCATTACCATACAAAGGGACCTTCAAAGGGTGGATGATAGTACAGTACCTGTATAAGTTCAGGGTTCTCCAGAGAAACAGAACAAACAGTGTGTGAGTGTGTGTGTGTGTGTGTGTATCAGAGAGAGAGGGAGAGAGTGATGCTATACATATATCTGAATTAAACTTGGTTTTCCTGTCCATAGTTCCTTTGGTATCAGCATACTTAATCTTATCTGTTGGAACCAACTCAGTTTGACTTCCAGTTTAATGCTCAGCCTTCTTCGTTTTTCCGTGAATTCCATCCACCTTTTGGAGGCTATGGAGCATCTTGACGTAAAGAGGAATGTGTTGTCCGGTCACTGACTGTCTTCTGTCCATGCTGCTTCCACTGAAATGGTTGTTTTCTCCCTTGGTCTGTAATTGCCTGATGCATTTTTCCTGCTGTGCATACAAAACCAATTCACTGAGACCATAGTATTGCAGTAAAGCAAGAGTTTAATTAATGCAAGGCCAGCTATGTGGAAGAACTGGAGTTATTACTCAAATCAGTCTCCCCAAAGGCTTGGAGATTAGGGGTTTTTAAAGGAAAGTGTGGGCCAGGTGTGGTGGCTCACACTTGTAATCCCAGCACTTTGGGAGGCCAAGGCAGAGGACTGTTTGAGCCCAGGAGTTTGAGGCCAGCCAAGGCAACATAGGGAGAGCCTGTCTCTATAAAACATTTTTCAATTAGTCAGGTGTGATGGTATACACCTGGTGTCCCAGTTTCTCAGGAGATTGAGGCAGGAGGATTGCTGGATCTCAGAAGTTTGAGGCTGCAGCAAGCCGTGACGGTGCCAGTGCCCTCCAGCTTGGGCAACAGAGCAAGACCCTGTCTCAAAACAACAACAACAACAACAAAAGAAGCATAGTTTGGTGGGCAGCGGGCTAGGGAGAGGGAATGTTGATTGGTTGGAGATGAAATCGTAGGGATGTAGAAAAAAACGGTCCTTGTGCACTGAGTCAGCCTCTGGGTGGGGGCCACAGGACCAGTTGAGTCAGAGTTGTGGGTTGAGGTGAAGTCCAAGTCAGTTGATTGTCAGAAGTGTAAAAGTCTGAAAAAAGCTTTTAAAAGGCCAATCTTATGTTTTATGACGGTGATGTTATTTACAGGAGTAATTGGGGAAGTTATAAATCTTGTGACCTCCAGAATAGTGAGTGGCTGGTTAGTGTTTAATTATGCCTGTATCTTAGCATAATTTAGGCACATCTCAAAATCCTAACCTTGTGCCCTTTTATTAGTTTTACAATGGTGGTTTAGTTTGGGAAGAGCTATTATGATTCTTGCTTGAAGGTTAAACTGTAAAATAAACTCATCTCAAAGTTAGCTTGGCCCATGCCCAGGAATGACTAAGGGACAGCTTGAAGGTTAGAAGCAAGATGGAGCCAACTATGTCAGATTTTTATTCAATGTCTTTTCCAGGGGACATAGTTTCACCCATAACAATGGCCATGAAAGGACATAAGCAGAAGATACTAATACAGAACAACAAAGACCTAAAAGTGCCTTTGCAAAAATTATGACCTGTGAATGTGACCTTATTTGGAAATAGTCCTTACAGATATATTTAGTTAAGAGCAGATAATTAGGGAGGACCCTAATCCAGCATGACTGGGGTCCTTAGAAGAGGAAAATTTGGAAAAAGACACAGGGAGAGCATCATGTGATGAAAGAGGCAGATCATGGAGTGATGTGGCTGCAAGCCAAGGAACTCCAAAGATCAAGTGCCACCAACAGAAGCTAGAAAGAGGCAAGGAAGGATTCTCCCCTGCAAGGTTTGGAGGAAGTATGGCCCCAAAATACCTTAATTTCAGACTTCTATCCTCCAGAGCTGCGAGACAATACATTTCTGTTGTTTTAAGCCACTCTGTTTTTGGTGCTTTGCTATCACAGCCCTAGGAAATGAATAAAGCCTCCTGCAGGGTTCTTCCAAATTTTGTCCTAGGTTTATATTCATCGAAATCTATGCCATTCTGAAAGTCAAAAATTACTCTTAATATTTAGCTCAACTTCTCTTTTTGCCTTGCAATACTGAACATATTTTCTCATGGTATTGGCCATTCGAACCTCTCCTGTGGACTGCGTGTCCACTCACATCTGTCATCTTATACAAATACAGGGGGCCCATTTATTTAATGTTGATTTACTAGAACTCTGTGTCTATTAAAGAGATATGAACTGTATTTCAAAGATGGGACATGTAGAGGAATAGTCGTCTAGGTTGTAGAAAACCACATCAGCTAAGATGTCTTGGTGGGAGTTAGTGTGATCATAGCAGAGAGGGAGACAAGAACTGGATTTTCAGAAGCAGAGAGCTGGAAACTCCTGATGGAAAAAGTTGGAGGGGTAGGTTAGGTTCAGGTTAGAGAGCCACTGAATGCTAGGTTTGGAGGCTTGTTTTAGGATAAGGAAATAGATACATAAGGTCAAGCAATTTGCCCAAAGCCATCCAGGGAGCTTTGGAAAGCCCTGAAAAGCAGAGAAACTTAAATTTGCCAGAGTAGTTATTGAGTTCTCAATTAATTTAAATGGCGAGGAACTGCTCACCTAAAGCCTTGAAATGCCAATGAATGCTTATGAGAAAAGCCTGCCAATATCCTGCTTCTAACATATCAGCCTTGGTGGCCTCCAGCCAGCCCTACACTTAATTCCCATAAGATACCCCAAAAGATAAATGAGTATGTTAATTAATTCCATTCATAACCTTCCCCACTAATCAGAAACACAGGCATCTCTTAACTCCCTAAAGCTGGAGGGATCTTCTTCATGGTATATCAGTTTCCCCCATGACCTCAAGAATAGGAATGTGGCCAAAGATTTCATTCTATGATGAACAAATTTGGGAAAGGGGACTGCGATGGTTAATTTTATTGTCAACTTGGTTAGGCCTGTCTTTGGTCAAACACCAGCCTAGATGTTGCTGTGAAAGTATGTTTTAGACATGATTGACATTTAAGCCCATAGACTTTGAGCAAAGTAGATGACCCTTCATAATGTGGGTGAGCCCCTTCCAATCACTTGACAGCCTCAAAAGAATAGACTCAGGCTCCTCCTCCTGATCCATGAGGAAAAAGGAATTCTGCTTCCAGATGAGACTGCAACATCAGCCCTTCCCTGGGTTTCCTGCCTGTGGGTCCGCCCTGTAGATTTTAAACCTGCCAGCTCCCATAATTGCATGAACCAGTTCCTTTAAAAATACATATATAGTTTATTTTCTTTCAGACAGAGTCTTGCTCTGTTGCCCAGGCTAGAGTACAGTGGCATGATCTCAGCTCACTGCAACCTCTGCTTCCTGGGTTCAAGCGATTCTCCTGCCTCAGTCTTCTGAGTAGCTGGGACTACAGGTGCCCACCACCAAGCCCGGCTAATTTTTGTATTTTTAGTAGTGATGGAGTTTCACCATGTTGGCTAAGCTGGTCTTGAACGCCTGACCTCAAGTGATCTGCCCACCTCGGCCCCCCAAAGTGCTGGAATTACAAGCTTGAGCCACCACACCTGGCCATATGTATATAGTTTTAAACTGATTCATATTTTCAACCTGTTTTGATTATGAAAATCCATAGCTATTTAACAACAGCCAAATGAATATGTAGCATTCTTAAAATAGGCAGGTTAGTGACCAATACAATCATGGTAGTAATAGAGTGAACCTTATGAAATTGCCAATATTTGACCATTTGATCTATAAAAATGGCAATTTGCTATGGATTAACCAATATGCGTGGAACAAGGACTTGCTAACAACGTTGAATAGAATTGCAGACGTTGATTTTGTTTTGTATTTTGGGAAAAGTGCTTGTGAAAAAGTCTAAACTTATACTGTATTCTCTTCAAGTTTCTTCCTCTCTCAACACAGCCAGTTAGAGGGTAGCAAGATTTGAGATTTGAGATTTGAATTTGGAGGAAAATAGAAAGACCACCCAGGTAGGTTTAGGCCTAAACCATGTGTCTAACTCAGGTTCTACTGGAGAATCCTGGTTGGAGATTATGGGCAAGTGGTAACTATTCTTGTCCCAGCCATATGACTGATGTCAAGGTTCCCTTCAATGGAACCATGTTGCTTTTAAGACAAATTCACAGCTGTAATGGGTGGTAGATAAAACCAACCTTCACTCCAGCCTCATGTCCCACCAGTTCCAACCCTACTGTGGTAGAGATGGTTGTTGGCCAACTCAGATTAGTGCTCCTCTTCTAGAACATAGAGTTAGTTGTTCTGGGAAATGGCTCCCAGCCAGGAGCCACATTTCTCAGCACATCTAGATTGGGGCATGTAACTAGCTCTAGCCAGTGAGATGTCAGTGGGACTCACGTGTGACACTTCAGCACAGAGGGGTCTCATACCATACTATGTTCCCTCAGTCTGCTGGCTAAATGTCACCAGAGTGACCTTGAAGCCACAAGACTAAATCAAACTGTCTCAAACAGTCACCATTAGAAGGAAGGCCACCCTAAATAGTCTCTAGAACAAGGAGTTCTGCATTGGACCTGGCACAAGTGAGACATAAACTTTTACTTTGTTAAGCCTCCAAGATTTAAGGTCATTTGTGATAGCAGCATAACCCATCCCACCTCAATACCTTTGCCCTTCAACATTCTGAATCATCGTCTGCTCTCTCAACTTATCAAATCGTTTCACTTGGCTGGGCCTTGCAAACTGTATTCTCTCTGCCTAGAATACCTTTTCCCTTGTCTATCTGACAAATTACCAACACTCAGATTAAGTGACACCTATTCAGAGTCATTTTCTGATTTCTCTAGGGTGCTGGTTTTTTCCTCCTTCTTACCTTTGCTGTGCCTTGTACCATAGTCTCCTGCCAAACCATGCTGAAACAGTTATCTTTTCAAAAGATTGTGAGTTCTTTAAATAAATGCAGGTACTGGGTCCTATTCTTTATGTTCAGATCACCTAAAATAGTGCCTGCTGCATGTGAGTTCTCCATACATGGATTTTGGATCAGCCTAAGTAAATTGGGTGTGTGGGGTTCTTTGGTTTGTCCCTGACCTGGCTGATTGCAGCGTGGATCTAGCCTGAACTGATCGGATGGCCTGAGTCTCTGCAGGTGTGTCTTGTTGGAGCTGCCCTTCTCTTAAATCAAAGAAATGCCCAGAGTAGGGGCCGGGTGTAGTGGCTCATGCCTGTAATCCCAGCACTTTGGGAGGCTGAGGCAGGTGAATCACCTGAGGTCAGGAGTTCGAGGCCAGCCTAGCCAACATGGTGAAACCCCATCTCTACTACAAGTAGAAAAATTAGCCAGGTGTGGTGGCGGGCACCTGTAATCCCAGCTGCTTGGGAGGCTGAGGCAGGAGAATCGCTTGAACCCGGAAGCAGAGGTTGCAGTGAGCTGAGATCACACCACTGCATTCTAGCCTGGGCGACAGAGTGAGACTTTGTCTCGAAAAAGGAAAAGAAAAAAAAAAAAAAAAAAAAAGAAAGAAATGCCCACAGTAAAGAAGTGGGCCCTTAGAATGTGTCTTTTGCTATTCACTGAAGGTTACAGGAAAATAAGGCTTTCTCATTTACAGAATGTGTCTTTTTAATGACTGCAGATCATATTTAATATGTGCTTTGCTTGCAAGAAATTGGAAATTTGGATCTCTCCTAGCGTTCTGCCCAGATACGTTCTAGAATTCCTTTGCTTCTTTGTAGAATTTTGATTCTTGTTTTTTTGGAAGGGACAATAAGGGAATTTAAAAAATCAAGTTAAAATGGAATGAAAAGTGCCTTTCACAGGAATGTTTTATTGTCTCTGCCTGGACTCCTAACATAGCTTATGAGGTGAAAACACTGCTTTAGTAAAAATGGAATACTCTTGGTTACATGAAATCCCATCCCTCGTCCTTCAGATCCTCTGGAGAAGTCCCTCATTCCTTGGGATTGGTGACGACAGCCGTGGTGGAATAGGAGTAGGGGCTCAGCAGGGCGGCGATGGTGTAGTGGCGGGGGCCGGAGTCGTTGGCTGTGAATACCACCTATGAGAGAAGACAGACAGTATCCATTTCCACCAGAGCCCGAAAACCGTACAGATGACACACATGACTGACCACCGGAAGTCCAGTGCCAACTTAATTAATTTTATTCTTTTATATTTTGAACAGTTTGAACAGAAGGAAAAAGCTCAAATACGCTGGCAAGCCAAGCCTTTGGAACCATGCACAGCCCTTAGAGCAGGAGTACAGAACCAGGTCTTGTTTTGCAAATTCACATCAAAAGTCAGGATGGCCCTAGCTTGACTAAGGGAAATCCCAGAGAGCCTAAAGGCTGTATCTATTTTGTTGGTTTTAGAATAAAAAAGGTGGGGAGAATGGAAAAATGCACTGAGTCATTGAAAAGCTGCTGCAATAGTGGCTGCCAACCACAGACTTAGAGACTTAGCATTCTGGAGCTGGAAACATACTTCCCATTTTACAGATGAGCAAACCAGACTTGAATTATTGTATTGCCCCAGTCTACATACTGATGGAACCACAGTAGGAAGGTAAGTCTCCTGTCTCTAAGCCCAGAGATTCCCCCACCCCACTGTTCTTTGCATTTTCTAACATGAAGAAGAAAAAGTATATTTTTATGTATAGCAAGCAATGAAATATGAACCAAAAGCATTTCAGGGCTCTATTTACAATACAGAGTGTGGAAGAGCATGGTGGAATTTTGAAATATACATGCATGCACTAGATCTCATTTAAGCTTTGTAACTGGGCAAATTGTGCAGCAAAATGCTGTTCCAGATAGTCACACAGTTCTGTCAAATTCAGTAGAGTATCTGCAACTCATGTGCTGGGACAGGCTTGATTCTCAGAGTGAGGCAAGTTGGGATAAATTGAAGTCAGGAAAGAGGTAGAAGACAGTAAAGATGTGTTTAATTTGATTTATTTTGTATACGGGCCTTGGGTTGAGTTTTGGACACACTCTGCATAAATACATTTTGTTCCAAATATGGGGAAAAGAAACCCGGATTACTTAGGGATAGGAGGGAAAAAGGAGCTGAGTGAGCCATACCAAAAACAAAAATAATATTGGGGCAAGAGGAAGTGAGAATCACCTAAGAATCTCTTAAGAAGAAACGGCTCCCCTTAAGGCCAACTCCCTAGAATCAACTAATAAAAATATCTTTTATCTTACGGTGACATTGACCTTCAGCCCACTTGATTCTTCTTAAAAATTGTAAGAGGCATAATCTGTGATCAAAAATCCATGAAGTAGCTGGGTGTACTGGCTCACACCTGTAATGCCAGCACTTTGGGAGACTGAGGTGGGTGAATCACCTGAGGTCTGGAGTTCGAGACCAGCCTGGCCAACGTGGCGAAACCTTGTCTCAATGAAAAATACAAAAATTAGCTGGATATGGTGGCGTGCACCTGTAGTCCCAGCTACTCGGGAGGCTGAGGCAGAAGAATTGCTTGAACCTGGGAAGTGGAGGTTGCAGTGAGCTGAGACTGCACCACTGCATTCCAGCCTGGGTGACAGAGCAAAACTCCATCTCAAAAAAAAGAAAAAAAAAAAAAATCCATGAAGTGAAGAGGCCTAAGAGCTCCTAATAAAAGTTTCCAGTTTCCCTTGGTAAATCTAATGTGACCACCTGGGTCACTGGCCAAGGTAGAGGTGACCGGTTCTAAAGGAGGCATTTATCAGAAGAAGCTGCATGAAGCCCACCATGCACCAGTCACCAAAGTGAGGCACCAGGACTCATCTCTCACTACTCACTCGCTCTTGTTCTCCATATTTATCTGGGCTTCAAGCTGGGCTGATGGTCCTGCCTAGTCTGTCTTACTTCAGTCCTTTCCCCTCCATTCCAAGGGTAGGGATGTATTTTCATTTCTGAATCTCCAGCATCTATCACAGTGTCCCACACATAGAATGCTTTTATTTTTTAAATGTTTGTTGAATGAATAAACAAGAGTGAAGAGCAGTCAAGGAAGCTGAGATCTAATGAAAGAGAACAACACGTGGGCAGTATGGCGATGAACTTTCTAGATGGTTCCCATCAGGCTGAGACCCAGGTCTGAGGCAAACAACGGTCTCAGGTAGGCAGTTCTACTACTCAAGGATAGGGGCTGAGACTCTAGGGGCAATGTCTTGTGCTGGGCACCACTGAAACCCTGCTGCTGCCCTGAGCGGCGTCCGTGTCTTGCTGCCTGGCTGCGGGGTAGTCAGGGACATGCTTCTTGGTAGATGGGGCTCCCTTGGTGACTTGTGGGCCCCAGAAGTCAAACAAGCCCCTATTGTTTCCCTGGTAACATTGCCTAATAAAGGAACCACTTTATAGCAATTGAAAGTCTCATCCATGACTAAGCCAGAGAATAGTTCCCTTTCATGCTGAGCTATTTTTGATGGAATTAGTTGATCTTTTAACTCTGACCAACATGTCTGGATTCTATTTCCATGACATCCATCTGTTTCAAATGACTGAAGAAATTAAGACAAGGGGAAGACAGGGAGATGTATAACTGTTCGAAGATCCTCACCATAGGCAGGGGAACAGAGCACGTTACAAATGTGGCTTTTCTTTTTTTAAGCTTGGCTTTTCACAGGGGAACAAATTTCCTGGGTCACAATGTGAGGCAGAGCAGAATTGAGGGCAAACCCAGCCTGGGCCTTGTTTGTAAACATCTCTACTTGTGTGTTTCCTAGCCCTGTGACCTTTGACAAGTTATTTGACTTCCTGGTGCCTCATTTGCTTCATCTATGAGATGGGGATAATAATAGGACTGACCTCAGTGGCTTGTTCCTGAGGATTAAGTAGGTTAAATATAGAAAACACTTATAATTGTGTCTGCCACATGGTGTATGCTTAGTAAATGTTATCTGTTGTGTTGCCATTATTACTTTGATTTTATTGTCTCTCTATGCATGTGTTGCCAAGAATCACTTGTCCAAACCTCCGAGGAGCGAGATGTGTTTTGGAATGAAGAATGTTACAGGTTTTAGAGAAATAAAATGGTGCATCTCTTGTTTCATACACTCTACGTGGGGTCTGGAGCTCTGCCTCATAAACATATTGTTTCAACAGCAGATACATCAATATTCATATAAAGTGGAATGAATAGACTATGAATAGTGTCATGTAAGTTCAAGTCATGTTACTAAATGGGTTTTCCTCAAAGTCAAAAAGAAATGTGCTTCTCAGAGTGTTGTGAATTTGTTCTTGTGTAAGAGGAGAGGGAACCTTTGGTCATTCATCACCTTCTTTAGGACATTTCTGTGGTATGCTAAGTAAAACTGTGCATTTCCTGGGATGCCAAAAGCAAAAACCAACACCAAAACAACCCTCCAAGGTTTATATACTCACCTCTGCATGCTCATGGAATGGGGAGATGCCAAGTGACTTCCAGTAAGATTTGGTGTCTATTTCCACTTTGTATATCCCTTCTACAAATTCCTTCTCAGTTGTGAGCCCATGCAGCTCTCCAGACTCACTGGTTTTCCTATAAGGTGTGAAAGTCTGGGTTAAGTTAGGCATGGAGGAAACAAATGGCATGGCAAAGTAATACCCCCCACCAACACACATAAACGTGTTATATGTGTTATATACACAACACACATAAACGTGTTATATACATTTCCCCTCAACTAAGTCAGAAGTAGGGAAAACTCATAACTGTCTGAAATTAAATGGCAAAAAGTTTGTAAAAACTTTTTGAAAAGCTCACTGTAGATATTTTTCTCTGATAAGAAGAGAACGTAGGTATAATTTTTTAAATTTTTTTTTTATTTTTGAGACAGAGTTTTACTCTAGTCACCCAGGCTGGAGTGCAGTGGCGCGATCTCAGCTCACTGCAACCTCTGCCTCCAGGTTCAAGGGATTCTCCAGTCTCAGTCTCCCGAGTAGCCGGGATCACGGGTGCCTGCCACCATGCCTGGCTAATTTTTGTATTTTTCATAGAGACGGAGTTTTGCCATGTTGGCCAGGTTGGTCTTGAGCTCCCGACCTCAGATGATATGCCCACTTGAGCCTCCCAAAGCGCTGAGATTTACAGGTGTGAGCCACCGCGCTCGGCCAGGTATAATGTTTGCTTAAGAAAGAGTCCTTGTGGTTTAAGACTGATGATTGGATGGGATGTTGTGACCATCCCTGGAAGTGGCCACAGCTGTTCTAACTCTGCACTTCTCCAGGACAGCAGGGTCTCGCTCCTCTCCCTTGTGGTGTGAGGATACCTTTCAGAGCATCTGCACACCACCAGGGAGGGTCATTTGCACACACAGTGGAAAACCTAAAGTAGGAAGAAGAACCTGTATCTGACTCTTCCCTTTTATATATTTAACCTCTCTGATAACTCTTTGCCAGCAACAAACACTAGGCAACTTCTATTTCCATGTAAGTACCAGCTCCATAGTTGAATGTTGGAAATTGCTTCCCATTAGACTGCAACAGCTATGACAGATAAAAATAGCAGTTGTCTTTACTGACTCTGATTGTGCATCTCCTCCTTTCTTCTTTACATTTCTTTTTTTTTGTCCTGACGCAAGGGAAAAGATTCATAAGAACATTGGAATATTTTTGGTATCCATTTTCTCTCTCCCTTAGAATAGTCCTGTAACCACTTTTCATGTTATGCTTGGCATTTTATATAAACATAAATGAATTACCAAATAAAAAGTCAGTTAAAACCAGACCTAAGAAAATGATCTTACCAATAATGGTTGAAGAATCATGTGGTTCTTGGGGTTCAATTAAAATACAACAGAAATTCTTCTCTGAGGAGAAGTAAGTACTTAACAGTTCCTCTTCTGCTGGGTGCGAAGGGTCTCCTGATTGCTCTGTCTTTCGGTCAATTCGCTTAGGTTTATTAATATATATTTTCCTTGGAGTTTTTGCTAGTGCAGGTAGAAAAACTCCATGAAAATTGTAAACTGGCTAATGAAGGTTAGAAGTCACTCTTGCACATGAAGTTAGGTGATCATGGGATTAGTCTGGGGCTATACTTTGCCTCATGGATCCATTTCTTCTGTCTTTTTTTACATTTGTTTTAACTGAGCTTGACAGCCTCCAGCCCTGCACACAGTAAGTGCCCCAAAGTGTTCATTAGGCAAAAGCCCTGGGTTTGGGGTGATTCAAATGAACTACAGACAGATGCCTAGTCAATAATATTTCTGAATTCCTTTCCTTTCGTTAGTGGGTTAATACACATTGTACCTCTTTCCTAAAATTCTAAGACAAGGACTCTCACCTTTGATGTTACCCAGGGACACCAGGGAATCTGTGAAACTCCTAAAATCACATATATGGTTTTTTGTGTGTGTATCTGTACATTTTTTCTGGGCATAGAATCTTTAGTTTTTATCACCTACATAAAGTGGTCTGTGACCCAAAAGGGTTGCACACCACAGCTAGAGGGGAAGAGTTCTGATTCCTTCTTTTCTCTACTGTCTGCCCCTAAATGATGCTCAGGTTCCTGGTCCCTTCCCAGCTAAACAAAACAAAAAGAGGGCATCTTCAGAGGGCATACTTGACCTCTGCTCACGTTTTTCAATCTACTTGTAAATTCTTTAGCAGATGATGTGAGCCCCTCTCTACCAAGTGAGGGGCCAACGGGAAGATAAAACCAAGTCCCGTGGGAGGGTTCTTTGGCAACTTACCCAGAGGCAAATGGCGCCCAGGTCTCATCAGCAGCCTTTTTGAACACGTTCACAGCCACGTTGACGGCAGGACTGCCTCGGACGGCATCTAGAACTTTGACCATCAGAGGACACTTGGATTCATCAACGCCCTGGGTGTAGAGAAGACAAGTGAGAAGTTAACAACATTGATCAGAGTGAAAGGATTTATTCTTTATGGTGTTAGAAATCTGGAACAAAACAAGAATTACACACTGATTCCATTATCAGGAACATAAGTGTTGACAGTTAATGAGCTTCCCTACTCAGTATAACACAGACATAATTGTTTCCAAAGCAAGAATGGTTTCTGCCTCCAGACACGCTGCTATCAACCAGGGATGTGTATGATGAATTTTAAGGGAGAGAATAGGCCCCCTGAGAACAGTTGCCTGGTTAAACTTCTCCATTTGAATGGAATTACTGAAAAGAGGTAATGTACCATACATAGGACCAAAACAGTTTTTCCTGAGATCATTTTAGTCGTTGCTCTAGTCACTCCCTCTTACCGGTTGTTATAACATTATGTCAGACTACATCCAGACCCATTTTATAGATTAGTTAATTCTTCTAGAGGATTTAAGAATTAGATATCTGACTAAATTTTGTTTACTAAGCCTTTTAAAGATTAATCAGTAAACACATTTTGATTAGCTATAGGGCCAGAATATAATCTCATGCAGTTTGCCCCCCAAATACATTTTATAAAGGGATACTTTTCTGAAAATTCAGGATTCACAGCTTCCTTAGTATCATATCTTTATCTCTATCATCGATCTGAGGAAGTGGAGATACCAGACATTACAAACCCAATGCACCAAAGCAATGAGGCAGAATCCCCAGAGTTCAAGTCCCAGCTCAGTTAGCTCAGTGGAACTTCATTCTTTTTGAAGTTTGAATAAATGATATTAAAAATAGATGCTGGGTACCCTTGCCCTAGTAACAAAAGCTGGTTGGCAAAGCTAGAAGGAGTCACTCCTACTTCATTTAGCGTGCATTTTAAATGTAGGAGCGGGATGTCCCAGAAACACTCACCGTAGGACCAGCCTCAGACACAAATACCAGTCCAGCGAGGCAGAGGAGGAGCAGACGATGAGAAGCCATCCTGCCAAGAACGAGTGGACTTCTGTGATGGCTGCTCCCAGCCTGGGGCTTTTATACCCACTTCTCCTGAGCTAGGCTGCTTATCCCTGCCAATCTGACTCCAAACCTGCTGATTCTGATTATTGACTTAGTCAACAAAGAGAGAATAAGTAACCCATACAAATATGAACCTTGTCTAGAGAGATTAGAGCATCGGAACATTAGCTCTATGAAATATTCTTAATAGGTCATTTGACCAGTGAGGTCACCAGAACAAAACAATCAAAACAAAACAAAAATAGTCTTCTCCCTGTGTGACTCCGTGCACTAACATTCCTGAGGATATATTTTTCCTCCCTCACATATTTCTATGCATGTTTTCCATTTTTATACATTTGTGTCTTTCATTTTTGATGCGAGATTTTAGACAGATGCAAGTTGTAATAATGCATTTCATGGTGAATGACATTTGGCTGCACAGGCTTAAATATAGTGCATTAGAAAATGTTTGCACTTGATGGATCCATGGGTCAACAAGGAAAAACCCTTGGCAGTGCTCACATTTTTAAAAGCCTACGTTTTAGCCAAACTCAGTCATTTGGAAGCTTTGCTTAGTCAGCAATTTCTCCACAATGTGTGTGTGTGTGTGTGTGTGTGTGTGTGTGT